GGGGGGGGGGGGGGGGGGGTGAGGTGAAGTGAGATCAAGTTTCGTGCGCGGACCTACCCATCCGTTTTGCGTCAGGCAAGTCTAGGCAGTTTAGGCAATTCATAATTCAGCTTTCCGAGTCCATCGCTCCACTGGCAGGTCTCCGGCAGCGGCAAGGTCATGACACACTCTCAGCATATGTATGGTTGGCCCGAGCATCGACCACGGTCGTATTGTGTCCTCACAAAGGACAGGACATGCAGCCTCTCTGGCGAGGGCTTGAACACATTGCATGAACTCTTCAGAGCGCCAAACATGGATGTCAGCGAGCTCTTCTGTGCACCAGCGGTCACTATGCTGTGAAAGCTAAGCTGCGGTGAGAGTTGTCAGTGTTCACTCGTTGTTCCGCCAGCCATAGGTGTGACTTCTAGCGGATTCTAGCATGATTCTGGATGCATCAACTCAGGATGAGGTGCAAGCTGCCCGAGAGGCTGCGGCGCACAAGGCATGCGTGCCGCTGCGCAGCTCCTTTGCCGAGACGCTGTCAGGCTGCCATGGAGTTCAGTGATCAGTGTTGAGTTTGATCGCACAGCCATAGGTGTTTTGAGTCATGGACATGACATGAGTGGCGTTGGCACTGTTCAGGTAACAAGAAGCAATGGTTGATCCAGTACAGGAACTGCAAGAAAGTCAAGAAGCACTTGTTGAAAGGCGGGTTCAAGTTCAGTATCGGTTTGGTGTCGTTTTACTATGTATTCGGAATCTGCTAGTGTTCCATATGGATAGCATTGATAGCATGTCATATGTCCTTCACTGAAGGTCGGAAAGCTGCGTCGGTGTCCGCTATGGTTTGCAATCTTGAGCAGAACCCCACCGTGCGCCCGATTGTGGGTGTATGGTTGCCGGCTCTTTTACGTAGCGGCCTGATGTGGTGCATCTACTCCAGGGAGGCCCTTACCGGCGGCAGGGAGGAGAGATGGATGTTGGACAAGGCGCGATCTCACTTTGTATGTCTGTTTCGTTTGTGCCGGTGATGTTTGTATTTGTATGTTCGCATGCTATGTCGCAGGAGCACCTCCATGCTATGGGCATTCCGCAATGGTTAGAATATGCCGCGGATTCTGCTTGGCCCTGGTGGCATTACAAGCAGCCTGCTACATGTGCGAAAAGATTGGCTGGCAACGTGACTCGTCCGGAGTTGGAATCGAGAGCTCGTGTGACTCGTGTGCTACTCTTTGCAGTGTCAGCATTAGTCAGCATGGGTGCACGGCACCATTACTGATTGTAGTTGGCTTGTTTGCTCATGATCATGATCCCACTGCCAGGCAGTTCATGCCACAGTGGCCGGCAGCGTGCACGCTGTCGTTCTTTGCTGTCTGCGCATGAAGACGGGGCGATCTGGCGCGGCGACGACTTCGCAGTAGTTTAGGTGGTGGCGTAGGCGTAGGCGATGTCTGCCACAGCTGAGCGGTTTCGTATCCAGTGCAGTCAGCAGTCGGCAGAGTCAGAAACAATGAATCAGCTCCGTTGCCTCTTGCTGCTACTAGTTGGCTAAGTAGACTTCCGATCGGCCACTTGCAGCATGAGGTCGTCATTGAGCTGGAGCGAAGTCCTACCGACAGGCCCGCCGCCCACGACTCACGTCGCCTAAACCAACCCCTAGGTCAAGGTCCCGAGTCCCTAGGTGTGTCATAAACTAAACTCTAGAAAAGTGAAATTCCAAATTCCAAACCACATGATTCTAAACCCTAAATCTTGGACAACCTGCGCATCCATAAACAAATGAACAAACCCTAAAACCCTAAACCCTAAACGCCTTAAACCCTAAACTTTACCTAAACCCTAAAACCCCAAACCCAAAACCCTAAACCAAAACCCTAAACCCTAAACCCTAAACCCTAAACCCTAAACTTTACCTAAACCCATGGACAGGGATGATTGTCATGAAGCGGCATTGTTCTCAGTCTCGGGTCAAGTCTCCATTTGATGCGGTTGAACTTGAATAATGGCGCTAGTCTCCGAATGAGTGCATCAGCGCAGCGAACAGTGCATCTGGAGTGAATGAGTGACCGCAGTGCTGGTAATGTGATGTGATTGTGTCCGCATCCTAGCTTAGGTCAGATCTGAGACGATAGGCGTGAATCAGCAGCGTTCTCAGTGGTATCTGCGTGGGCTACGGGGGCAGTGGCGGCAGTGATATACTTGTGACTTGTGGCATTGACGACTGACATAACGTATGACGGTATGACGTATGCAGTTAGGGCAGATTCGGGCAGATCCTCAGTGCCAGTGCCTCCGTCCTTGGTTGTTGCGGCTCTAGCGTGCAAGGGTCTTTCAGATCTCCCGATCTCCCTAGGTTCAAGTTCTATCATGTTTAAACATCAAACATTTTCCAACTTTATAGGATGATCAGCTCCCGCCCAGTGATCCACCCTGGGCTTGGTCGTGGTGGTAGGGGTAGGGCCTGGGCTGTCTGCGACGACATGGATGACGAGTCTTCTGATGCTGGCCGCCGCTCGTCGTCTGCGTCTGGCACACCCGTCGGTGGTCTGCTGAGCCGAGCACTGGGAGCTGCGCGCAGACAAGAGTATCCGCCGGCCGTACTCGACGCTGTTCTTCGTCCCATGGATCATATGAATCATATGAGTCTGCCAGCAGTGGAGTCAGCGGAGGTTGTGCACCCCGACGAGCTTGTGAGCTTGAGGTTGAATCGGTTGAATCGTCGCAACAGAACAAAGGGATGCACCATGGAGGCTCGACCCTCCAAGGCGCCGCCGGCCGTAGCTTCTTCGGCGGCGAACCAGAAAAAGATGCGCACCACAGAGGCTCGACCTTCCATGGCGCCACACATCAATCAGTCGGCGAACTTGGACGCCACGGTCCCCACTTCAGTATCCTTGTCGCGGCCTGCAACCGAGGTAGCAGCAGAGCATGAGGACTCCGAGGAGGCAGAGACAGAGACTGTTTGTTTCTCCCAGGGCGTTGGCAGTATGCCCTCTTCGTCTGGCACTGCCGCTGGACCGGCTGGACCTGATCAATCCGATGAAGCGGATTCGGATTCAGAGTTCGGTTTTTACCCTGTGGGATTGGGCATCGTGCAAGCTCCTGCCAGCGACAGAAACCGCACGCTCGGCAAGACCAGAGCTTGCGCGAAGATTCTTGTCCGATCCGGGCTCCGTTGCTCATGCTGCTACAAGTTGCGAGCTCTCTGCCAGAAAATCATTGCATTCATTCCTAGATGTGTTGAGAGTAGTCTCAACAACCTCAACTGTATCACTGCTGAGTCTGCTGAGTCCACTCAGGTCGGCGTGGCGACAGGTTCCGGCCGGCACAGGCCAGAACCCTTTTCGCGAACGTGCCAGTGACCGTGTTCTGCATGAGATGCATTTTGGATAGTGGTGCAGTGGTGCGCTAGTATACATCATATGTGACTGAGCCGTGAGTTGTGTCGCCGGAGTGATCTTGCGAGCAGGCATGAGGCACGCAGCGCCAAGAAAATGAGCCACGCAGCCTCACACAGCCATTTGGTTTTCAGGTTTGCAAAAGCTCCGCGCCCCTGTGCAGTTTTTTGGGTGGCCAGCCA